TACTGCGTCTTGAGATGCAGTTGCATTTTTATTCTCTGTAAATAAAATGCTGCACACAGCAAAAGGCGTACACTACTTCTTGAGCTGTTTGTGTACTGCACCTGCAGGCAACAGTAGCCACTGCAGTGCAAATGCACTCGGCAAACACAGCATTTTTGAACCACCAATTTGCCTTGTCTATTCTGCAATAAGAGTGCACACTTTAGCTTATGTGTATTTTGTGATGTCGTTATTTTGAATTGTTGAGTGGTTTTAACAAACAATGTGGGTTCATTATCGTGTTTTTTGTCATGTTTACTCACACAACTTAATAAGTGACATTGGTGCAGCGTCCCGATAAATCTTGTGAATGTTGCAGGGTCATGTGGAATGCCTTTGGTCTCCTGCATGTAGACCACCAATTATAGTATTTTGCTGCCCATAAAAGATTCATTTTTGTTGATGCTGATACATCTTGCAGTTTATAAGGCAGTGATTATTTGCAAATGCAGCTGGTATAAACAAGGTTTTTTTTTCCAGGAAGAGCCAGATGTATTGTGATGTAAACATCAGAGCACAAGAAACCCTGCCCACTGAGATAGAATCGGACTGTTGAATTGTTTACCCAGCAGGGTGGTGCATTGCATTAGAGAGATCTTAGTGTTGTGAGTTCAACTCGGCACTTCGCACCTCTGGGGTAATTAAAACGAGCCACACTTTGTGTTTAAATTAAAGAACAGCCCACAATCGCATATTCCACTCACTGTGGGCCTGAGGTATAGGCGGATATGCGAATAAAAAATCGTATATATAAACATTTTAATAAAATTACAGTTACACCCTGAACAAGTGCTGCATTGGGTATGGGAGGTTTATTGGCCAGGGCAGATATGTGATGGTCAGATATGTGAAGTTGTACTGTAGTTTTCCTACAGTGAGGTAAACTCCTTGCTTCGGGAATGTGGAATTTCCTTTATTCAGAAATTCTGAAGACAAACTACTCTTTGTGTTTAATTTGTTGTTCTTCCCCCGCACCTCCGATGACCACGGTTGGCTATGTACGATGCGAAAGAAGTTGAATATACATTTTCTGAGAGTTGTAATTGGCAGATGAGTGCAAACTCACACAGATTTGAGCAGAAAATCACTTTTACTTAAAGTTCTTAATTCAATCATGTAAAATAATCTTCCGGAAACGATGTTCTCATGTGACCTGTAGAAACACGAAAGAGCCTTCTCTGCAGAAGTTCAGTTTTTGTTAGACTGTTCCACTAAATGTGCTTATGTGTCCATTATAAACATTGGGGCGCATTGCCATAACTGAGTGTTTTGGCTGTTTCAGCAAGATAGGAATCTTTCCCCAGAGGTCTGTGACATCATAGTTTGTAACAGAGTAAAGTTTTATTTACTGGTATTACATATGCGTGTTTTTAGCTGTAACCGACTAAATAAAATAGTATGTTCAATTAGCACCATTTATATGCACTGAATAATACATTAATATATTTTGATTTAAAGCTTTCGTGACTGCAGGGATTCATATTCTTGGTTCTTTCAGCAAAGTCACCACGTAGAAGGGAAACAATAAACACTTGCTGTGAAAACCACAGCAAGTGGTGTGGTTTTCACACCTGATGATAATTGCTTGTGTTGCAGTCGAAACGTCGTGAGAATTTTATTGTTTTGTATTTTTATTATTTTATTGTTTCCCTTCTACGTGACTTTACCGAAAGAACCAAGAATATGAATACATTAATATGTTTTCTATGACAACAATGTCGGGTCCCCCCCCCCCCCCTCCTTAATTATATTGCAATTGCCCTATTGTACTGCTTTATCTCAAATAATTGGCTAGGAACCTGGCCACTTAAAACAACAACTGCTGAGGTCCCTTTCACGAGGCTTTCACGAGGCATCTTCTGTTGCACACGAGGGGCACACTTTCCATATTTCGTGCAAAACGGTGCTGGACTAAAATTACTTGACAATCATACTTCATAGTAATGGTAGTTTTTTTATGTGTACTCATCGGTGGTTGAGTGGAGACCATCAGCTATCTACACTTGAAAACGTAGTTTATTTAACAGGGGCTACCGTCTGGATTTGAACCCAGGATGTAAGCGGAGCTGGCTTAGTGCTGCGACATGGACTTATACCCTCCTAAGCTTCCCGGCTACTTGTTCTGATGTCTGTTTTTTTGAGCACGTTGTCGTGTTATCATTGTCCGTGAGATGGACGAGATGTTTACATCACCGTCAGTGGACCCAAGTCGTGGTTGCAGAAGATTGCAATGTGTCTGCATACGACCCCACTCTCATCGCAACCAGGGACCCTCCCCCACAAGACCGGCTGGGGTGGATACCACAGCCAGCGTCACAAAATGACAAACTCTTTAGATGAAAAGCAGCATGTGTTATATCATCCACACACACAAAAAAAAAACATCAAATAGCAATCTTCCTTAAGTGATATGAAAACAAATGATTAATATACATGCACGCGGCAATGAACTAAGCTGCCAAATACAGCGGGGCATATGTGGTACTTTTCAACTCCTTAGGATAGGAATGAGAGCAGGAAATTGCGATCATAACGCATCGAATGGATTGAAAACATGCTACTGAAGGGTCAAAGCAAGACAAGGCCTGAGAATAAGGGACTCAGAATGCATTTTAAGAGAGCAACAGAATCCTAATCGAGACAACATCGCTTCGGGAAAGGGTACGGAAACTCTCTGCTTTCAAGTTTTGAGTTCATTTTGTTTAACCAGGTGAGAACTGGGCAGACCAGGATAGTGTCATCTGCGAGAGTGACCTGGGACACCAAAAATGACGAGAAAAATTGAAAACAGTAATCTACAGCATCGGTGCAAAAACAATTGTGTCACTTGAGGACTCCAAAATATTGTTGAATAATAAATTGCCTGTCACGTATGTTTGGCTAGGCCAGATTAGTTTTCGACTGTTGGCCGCGTAGAAGGCATGCATATATTAAGTATATATAGAGACAGGACTGATGAATTTGGAAGAGGGGAGAAATGCACGCACAATTTGTATATCGTAGAAAGAAGACGAGTGAAAGATACGTTACAAATGTATTAAAAACGAGATACAGTATAAGGTGAGAGATTCACGTGAGCGCGAGAGAGGTAAAGGGCTAAAAAAGCATGGATTAACGTACACTACTCATTGAAACCATGCTGAAATCGCTGCCCAGTCCCGCACCTAACCGATCATCGCCCTCAGACAAACGCCTGAACTGACAAGAGAGCTCACTTTATTAATTACATTTCACGTTCACGGTGTGGGCTGTTTGGAGCAGCAGGAAGATTGAATGATACCGCCGGCTGGATGACATGAGCCCATGGGCCTCGTTTGGCCTGCGGATCATAGCCCGGAGTGTAAGGAGTGGAGGACTTGTAGGGTCATTTCTATCGTAAAAAGGGAGAAAAAAATGTTGGGTAACACAGAAAAGGAATTTCCTGGTATTAAGGAAATAAATAAACTGTGCCCTAATGACAAGAAAATGCGGAAATCCCCATTGCCACGTACATAGTGAATATATGAAGGAAACAGGCCAAGGGTAGGAACTAAACTGGCTCATTTGTTGAGTGCCCACACTTTCAATGACAGTCTCTCAGTTATGGAAGCTCATTGTTTGATATAGGAAAGAAGATGCATATGGCTTTCATAATTAAAGAACAAATGGCTATCACTATACCAACATGAACACTTCACAATAACCAATGTGTGTACCCTACCGATGACTTGTCCTGGATATCAATCAGCTGCTTGAAAAAATCAAGTTTCATAAAAGTTTTTTTTCATGGAATGTACACCCATACATACGTACACACATACGCGCCTTAAATCAGTTAATTAAGTCCACAAACATGCACCTCTTCAAAAAAATAAAAAAATGTATTTGAAGCAATTAAAAATGTACGTATTCAACGAAGTTTGAGACAGCACCAGCATTGGCATACAGTAACACACCAAACTCGCAACATCAATATATGCTGTACAAGAATATATCGGATGATCGTCTTCGGAGAATATCTTAAGCCACTGCATACTCCCTGCCATGTCAAACGGTTCAGCAACACGTTTTGCCGCACTAAATTTACTCTTACCCAACCTAAAGACCATGCAGTTGCACAGAAACCACAACGTCATGATCCGATATGGCTTGGCATGAGCAGATGGACAAATATCCCTTCCTGCGTTACCTCCAGAACACAGTGCACTGGCATATTCGTAAACACAGCTGCGCAGGTCGTGCATGTTTGAGCACGGATAACTGATTGATGTCGTTGTTTTGATATATGAGGTAGAAGCGAGACGTCTTTATCCATGTCCATTGTGCTTGCCTGTGTGTACTGAGCTCAGCCACCTTTGTGTGGCGTTGTCTCTCAGCCACGCAGATACACTGCAGTCGTTAGGAAAATTTGTTTGGGGTGGACTTATGCTACCAGCAGAGAGATGTGATCGAGTTTCGAGTGAAAGAAGATGTGAAGGCTGTTGAGATTAGTGATGATTGCTTGCTGTGTACAGGGTCGTCTGTGTATGTGTGTGAAAGCACTGTCAGAAAATGGTTGAAGCAATCGATGAATGGAAAAACAGGCGTTAGCCTAAGTTTTAAGAGTTAATTTTAATTCTTTGTTCGATGGCTAGCCAAAAGCTGCTGTGAGGATAATTGGAGTTCGCATGATGGTTTATGCTCCTTGAGGACATCAGCAAGGTATTGTGGTTAATTTGTGGCAAGTACTTTGTGTGTAATGAGTGCGACCTCATAATGTATTCGTTCGGCAACCAAATGCCAAAGCAGCTCAGCGAGCACTAGATGGACATGGCCAGATCTTGCAGTAAATTATAGTATTACAAATATCTCCAATAAATGCTCTGCTGTCTGGCCACACGGTGCATTGGTTATTGCGTGCGGCTCACGATCGGACGGATGCGATTTGCAAATCCCAGCTCGGGGTCGAATTAGCTCTTGCTTTGCGCTTCCGTTTCTGGCAGGAAGTCGTGGTGGATGCCCGTGCCGTGCACCTGGGCGCCCTGACGGTGCGTGGCCTGCACACGATGCTCACTGTGAACTCTGCGAGCGGTAAGCCTCTGCCCAAGTCGTGCATCATGCCTTGGGAACTGTTTGACGGCCACCTGTTCCAGCACAAGTACCAACAAGCACACCGTGGTGCTCCCTCCCTCGACCTGCTGGACGGACAGGTACAGAATGTACTCGCCACACGAGACTTCTCTGTGTGTTGTTGCTCTGGAGACCGGGGACATCAGTGAGCGATGTTGTGCACCTCTGCCCTTGACATCTGTCTACCTGGCCACGTGGCGCAGCGGTGGAGCACGCGGCTCACAATCGGATGGATGCGAAACCAAATCCTCATCAGGGGTTAGCTTCCATGAAAAAAAAACTGCTACTCATTTATACTCAACAATGGTTCCTGGTTACCAGCATAAGAACTTGGAATTTCCAACCTATTTCTATAACAGACTTGATTAGCTGTCTATATCACTTGCCTTGCATCAATACTTGCTATATTTTTATATCTAACACCCAATGGAGGTTTTCCAAATAGGAATGAAGAGGAGAGTTCAAATGCAGGGATGTTCAGTATGTGCCACAATGCTTTTTTTTATCAAATCCCCGTGCCATTCTCAGTGCTTTGGTTGGGGACTCACACATTCACGGTCTAAGCTGGGACTGCCTAGATGTTAAAAACTCAAACTCTGGTAGCCTCCTCCGATGAAATCGCTGGGTTTCCATATGAAGCGAGATGATCATCTCTGCCAAGATTGTTTTTATTATTGTATAATTAATCATCCAAACATAATTGCTGTTTTCCAGGTCTTTCTTATAAAACAAATAGCTGGTTGAATAGACAAACCCACTACACATTCATTTTGTTGTGCATATCCTCTTTAAATGACCAAATTAATTGAATTGCACGTCTTTTGGTGCTGTAATCTTTCAGATAACGTCATGGAGCTATGAAGTGTATATATCAATGGCTTGGAAGTGTGTAATAACAAGCGTTTGCAGGATAATGTTTCATGAGTGGTAATTATGTTATTCATAGGGTCAATTATGAGTTGCAGATAAATCTTAATTACAGTTAATGTGCGTCGGGGATTTTTGAAGTTCCACCATATTTTCTCAACTCTATTGCATCGTGAAGTTTGCGTCACGAGAGGCTTGTTTATGCATGTATCATGGCTGCATCCTGTTGGCTGAATCACCTTCGAAAACTGGCCCATTTGTTCACCATATTTTGGGGGCATCGACTTTTCGAGAAGGCGGTGTTTATTTTGTCAAGTGACGAAAATGTGACACCAATATTCGCGCGTTAAATGTTTGGTTTTTTGTAGCCAACAAAGACCGCGAGTTGACGAACGCAGCCATGACGATGATGATGATGATGATGACGCTGACTGCCCGCCAAAGACCAACGCGTGACTGCGACGAGAAGCACCTAATGGGTGTAAGTTAAGGCGCAGTGAGATATGTAGTAACGTTGTAAGAGACCGACATTCACGGAGGAAAACCAGATATGGTAATTGGCTATTTGTGTATATGAAAAGATTGAGTGCACCAATTGGCTGACCTGATGATATATTGAGGGTAGAGGAAATTGCGTGCCCCACACACCACCATTTAATAACCAAGAGTGGGCTACATGTTTCACAGGTTTAGTCGCCTAGACGAAGTAAATCACTGAATGAAATCCACAGACTGTGAATTTATTAAAATTATTCCGGTTGTTGTCGACTAAACGAAGACTTTTACTGAAATATTAAATTCTGACTCAACTAACACTGATGCAAGGGTCATGAAAGTCCATGTCATTGTTTCTAAAGCTAATGCACAAAAAAATATCTTCTTGTCTTCTTGTACCTTTAGGGAGATCTACACTGTGTGTTTGAAGATTTGTTGAAGGTTATAACATCTATCTCCTCGCTCAAATCTGCAGGTATCCCATCACATACCCAGTCCATTCCTGTCTCGCACCGCACAAAAAAATAGTTTTGTGACACTGCATTGGCGGTGGTACACAAGCACAAATAACAAAAGCTCACACAGTCATCAATGACAGTGCCCTGAGAGGAAACAATCTATATTTTTATACATCTAAATATAAAAATACATGAGTGATGATTCACGGAAATGGCCCTCCATATTAGTGAGATCACACACTAGGTGGTTTAAGGTATTATATATTTCAGCTTTTATAATATAGAAACGGGTACTGTGGGTCAGCTGTAGTAAAATACAAATTGGCCAAGAGGGGAAGGGGTCCAACAGTGAAACTAAGTTCAAGATCAGACAAGACAGAGAGTAATTTAGGCCAAAGAACTGCAGTTTGGCAGAGGACTAAGAATGAAAACGTGAAAATTGGGGTGGCCTTTTTCAGGAAATGATAATGTGATGAGTACGAAGATTTGAGTGACTGTATTCTGCCCCATCTCTGCATCGATAAACAGTTTTTTCGTGGAGTATGTTTCACGATTCGTCTTACGCATGCCGTTTCAGACGGCCGGTTGAAGACTCGTGAGCACATGAGCCATGACCGACCGAGAGGATTGAACACGAGACCTCGTGCCCAGGCTCATCGGGGCTCGAGAGAACGTGGTGGTTTGATGGGCAGTGGTGGACAGGATTTGAGGAGTGGAGCGAGGGGAGGTGAGGGAGAGTGGAGGGGCGGCAGTGGAGAGTGGAGAGGTGGCAGGGGAGGGAGGGGAGCTGAGGGAGAGTGGAGGGGTGGCAGGGGAGAGTGGAGGGGTGGCAGGGGAAGGAGGGGAGCTGAGGGAGAGTGGAGAGGTGGCAGGGGAGGGAGGGGTGGCAGGGGAGAGTGGATGGGTGGTAGATGAGCTGGGGGAGAGTGGAGGGGTGGAAGGGGATAGTGGAGAGGTGGTAGGTGGGGTGGGGGAGAGTGGAGGCGTGGCAGGGGAGGGGGTAGGGGAGAAGGGGTAATCGTGGGATATAACAGAGGGGGAAAGGGTTGTGAGGTGGGGAGAGGCTGTGTGGGAGAGGCTGTGTTGGAGAGTCGGGGTTAGCAGGGTAGACTTCGGGGGTGGAGGTTGGAGGGTCAGTCAGTCAAGGAATGGTACACGGAGGGAAGGAAGAGAAGCGTGGGATAATGGTTGTGTGGATAAGGAAGGATATTGATAATAAGACGTGTGCCAAACACTGCATACTGCAGTCCCCTTTGGTAACCAAGGAGTTGCATTGTAATGTCAAAGTTGAAAGGTTTGTTGAGCTATCATTGGTCACTGGGCTGAGACGATTAACTCTCATTACGCTTACAAACTAACTATAGAGGTGGCTGGGTCACCCAGAGGTCAATGGACTGAACCAGATGAGCCGAGATCTTGGTTTTGAACCCAAGCAGCCCACCGACGATTAAACCGGGTGCTTGAATGTAATGATCGCCGCTGACAAAAAGTGCCATGGATATCGTCTGGCAAATTAGTGTCCGTGGACGACATGGCCCCGGGGGAACAAGCCCGCGGTCCTGTTGAGGTGGAGGCCACTCGCGACTCCGGCTTCAACATCATGGCAGAGTACTCTCTGCAAGTGGCGACCGAGAAGTAGCTCGGGTGTTTCGATGTTTCGCCTTGACAACAGCGCCACTCTCGACGTGACTTTCCGTGGCAAAAAAGGCGCGACGCGACCCGAGGTCGATCTACCCTGGCGTGACACTTGACCGCAAGCTGACTTTATGTAATGCACACCATGAAAGAGGCTGCAGGCAAAGCCAGGGGGAAATCTCATTTACAATCACAGCAGAACTCGTCTTAGCGACGGTCATTGGTTCCACGGAACCGGTCGTTAAGTGATTTGGTCGTTACGCGAGTATAGGAGATACATGTTAGAGGCTTAATTCGTTCCGATAGCATCGAAAGTTACTTTTTCACCCAAAAAACTTACCTTATCATATTTAAACCATGGATATTAATACATAAGATACTAACAACATGAATACATAATATGGAAAGAAACATGGTTAATAAATGCATTGCTTCATATTTACCGTACCTACAACAGCCCGTCGTTAACGGGAATGGTCGTTAAGAGGGTTTCTGCTGTACGCTGGTACGAGCTGGGGGTCAGATGCCGACGTGCTTTGGACATCGGCAATTGCCCAGGCGTACTCAACCACAGAGTAAACCCATCGTGCCCAACTGAAGATCAAAACCCAGATCTCAGGAGCTTCAAAATCTAAGCGATTGCCCTGGCTTCCTGTACTGTCAAACATCGCACCAACGGACATTTGCTGACCCTGCTGCAACACTTCGCCAACTGCACTGGTCAGAAGTCAGTCCAAACCTGCCAATCAACGACGACCTGAACAACATTCCGCACCCATGGCTAAGATGCAGAAAGTCGTTTTGGAAAACACGCACAAACTCTTTGTAATGTGACTTGAATATCGTGATCGAAACGGTGTGGACAAAATACTTGGGATTCAAGATTCAACGTGCCCGCCATCACACATGCCTGGGCTGCCATCTTCCACGGCAACAATGGGCATTGTCTGACTGGATTAGAATAAAGCGCTCTCCTTTATACGACTGTGGCTATGAATACCAAACCATGGACCGCAGCTTCCTACTGCCTGAGGAAATCGCGTAGAATTGAATCTCTAGTGGTTACGCTTAATTGGCCAGACGAAAGTCATTCAAAAGAATATTCCAACTCTTAACAGTTCAAACTATTCCATTTGACTGCCCTGCGACAGACGTTTCTTGTAGCCGGGCACACGGGAGATTGCAGTGTGGCGACGAGAGGTCACTTGAAGGCGATCTGTGAGAACATGGCAGTTTGATTAGGGGGGGAGCCTTCTCCTTCCCGCTCCCTAATGGGGCACGATGCAGCGGTTTGTGAGAGTTGTGGATACTTTGTCTCATGCACTTAATCCGAGTGCACAATTGACGTCAAAATTGAGGGGAAAGGAATCAAACGCAAAACGATTAGAAGTTAATTATTTTAGTTACGGGTGGTTTTCCAGATTCACTTTCAGGATCTCTGTTGTTTTGGCTCAGTGCTCTGACGTAGCATTAGGCCCTGAGCCACCTACAAATATAAAAGTATAAAAAACAGATCAAAGATGTCAAAATTCTAATTGCAAATCCTTTACAAATAAATGTTTATGTTAGCTTTACCTTCATATCCACATTGATTTATTGCCAACGTTTATTGAATTGTCACATTTGCAAAAACACATGTTTGCACACACACAGGTGCACACATTGTACATAACACATTTACACACGTACACTCTAAAGGCAGGTGCATTATACAGGCTGAAGTATTTGTAAGAGGTTGTGCGTCCAAACTGACAAAAGGGTGTTTGTTTAATACTCAATAGCTCAGCTGTTTGTTTTTTAAGTGAAGGTGAGACCTTGGTTGAGCCCAGCTCTCGGCAGGAACTCTCGTCTCCCTCGTGCACGTGACGCCAGTGATGCCACGTGACACAGGTGACACAGGTGACACAGGTGACACAGGTGACACACAGGTGACACAGGTGACACAGGTGACACAGGTGACACAGGTGACACAGGTGACACAGGTGACACAGGTGACACAGGTCACCCTTCTAAACGAGACGACGCTGGTCTCTTGAGTTCTCGCCTGGTTAAATACAATGAGAGCTAAACTACTGGTAAAACGATGAGACCACCGCTTTACACGTGTCCCCCCGAGGCAGGCCGACTGCGGATGTTTCACTCATCTGTATGTGCGCGTGTATGTTGAACTTCTTTTGCACCGTACGAAGGCAACTGTGCTAATTGGGAGGTGCGGGCGGCGAAGATAATCTGTCACGAAGGCGTCTGCTAGGCTCTCCCACTGCCAAAATGTGTTTTTATATGTACCTGTAAATTTACCTGAAGTGTCAATACCATGGCATTATGGCATGTCAGGCTTTTGTCTATTATCAGCGTGTAGCAAATAAAGAGATTGATCATACTCTTGGTATGTACTTTGTGTGCGTTAAACGTTGTAGTGCCTATGTGTTGATGTCGTGATCGGCTTTGAATATAATGGTATTTAAGTTAGCCATGAGCATATCTTACTCAGGGTTCTGGGCCCCATAATAATAATGCTTGGGTTATCCTTAAACGAGTATTCATCTGGGCCCTGCAATATGAATGTCTAATTTCCACTGCTGGTCACAGCTACAACCCAGCACGTGGCAGCATCGGGAGGAGGGATTTTTGCCCACTCCTGATGATAACTCTCGTGGCTCGACACAAACTCGCTGGTATTTTGTCTCGGTTGAGACGACCTCTCAGTAAGACGTGGGCACAAGACGTGTTTCTGCGATCCCAAGTGTGGAGGAAGGGGTTGGTGGTGGAAGTTGCTTAGGCATATAATGATGCATCGATGAATAGCGATTCTAATGTTCATGATACAAGAACACGACTACCCCTGTCAACCCGACGGGTCCCAAGCACTACACGTGTGACACGCACACAGAGGAACCCATCCCATTACCTATCACACGTGAACGCACACAAGCATCAGCGCGACAAGTCAGTCCCTACCTTATTACAGACCAATTCAGACCTTATGGTCACCCCGTGCCCCTATAAATATCAACGTTCATCCTACAAAGTCCCATCACAAGCGAGAAACACAAACAAATAAGAGCATTCTTTCCACGTATTTGAACGGCTGTTTGCCGTATTCACTTAACTCAATTTCCATGTACAATAATCAGGGTATGGGGTTGACAGGTATGTGACCCATCTATTCACCCTCCCACGCAAACAACTCCCACGGAATCTATTCACTCCAACTGACGCATATATTCACTCTCAAACAACTCTCATCCATCTATTCACTCTCACACAAACACACAACGCTCACGCATCTATGTACGCAAACAGGGATAACTCCCTCCCTACAACTCCTCCAAGCCACCCGCCACGTATGAACTTTCCCCAAACGCGACCGCCCCTGCCTTCTTCACCTTGGCAGCAGTATGCACACGAAGATTCGCAAGAACTTACAAGATAATATCGGTCGTGGAAATATACAAGCGGCGAACACAGTTCGCAGTACGCGGGGAGACGTAAACACAACCGCCCGAAGCCAGTATCGTCGTATTTATATCAACATACGTGCGTTGCGATACACCGGGGGGTAGCAAATGTATTTAAGTCGACTTCGTATCGCTTCTGTCGTGATTGGGTGCCTGCTCTTGTGCCAGGGATTCGGTCCGGAGTACACGAGACATCCCACTGGGATTGTTTTTGCACACAGCGTTGGTGTACCGGTGCTTTTTCTGGAAGATCTTGCTGGTTTTTTTTTCCTGGATTTTTCTGTTTGGGGCAAAGTCACACAAAGTCACTTTAAGATGTTTTTCTTGTTCGTGTTTTTTTTTTGTTTGTTGCGGTTGCACCCGATTCAAGAGCCGAATGGCTCACGGGGCTATACCAAATAAATGAAACTGGAATGAAACTGAGACAGTCACAAAGGCAACACTGAGACCGGCTGCCAGGGCCCGCTATTCGTCCTCCACAACACTGCCGCCCATCCAGCTCGGTGTGGGAAGATGAAGGTGCAGCCCCTGCAATTGCTTGCTCACACCACACATTTTTGTCCTTTATTTTAACAAGTAAGGCCCACTGAGCGACTGTGCAATAGCTCTCTTTTTCAGAAGTGACCTGGCCACAAACGAAGGCTCAGCGAAGCGACTTGTCACGTGGAAATGTACAGCAACCAAATACTCTGAACGCGTGATGTTGCTGATTATAAAAATGGAGGGGAAAACCGTAGGACCCGGATAAAAATCCGCGCGACAACAGAGAGCACACGCAAACTCCAAATATCCAGCGTCAGCGTCAGGATCGAACCCCATGACCTCCTGTATACCGGGCGAGGTAGTTAACATCTCCTAGCCACCGTGGCACCACTGTTGGAGAAAGGGCCTCGACTTGAGCTACGGGTCGCATGCCCCCGCCCCTCACCAGGTCTTTGGCCTACTCTTCCAAGTTGGCCAGACGTCTTAAGAGACGCGAGAGTTACCAACACTTTACCCAAATACATTCCACCTGCCCAATCGTCTCACTGCAAACATCTGGACAGGTACAACATGTAAAGCGATTTGTAGGAAGTGGATATTTCTCACACCGGTGCAAATTGTAGCGAACTTTGAGGGTGGGGTCTAAATTAAATAGCTTTCTCGTCCAAAAATTTTACGTAAAAACGTTATTTTATTCTGAGAGGTTATTGTAGGTCATATACTGAAGTAATGTAGTTCTACTCTGTCTTCGTTAACCCAGATGTTCCGATGTTCACAATGCACGCAGAGCTGCACACGAGGAGAATGGATCATCGTGCAACGTAATCGTCTTAGTGGCCATGTAAAGATTCACTCGTCTATGAATTCGCACAAGTTAGTGTCAACATTCCGGAATCAATTTTCTGTCTCGCTCATTTGTACTGTTCAATAATAATAATAATAATAATTCCGACTTTTAAACCGCGCAGTATTCACTCAATCTACGACTCAGAGCAGCGAGGAACCAGACAAGTGGGGAAGGCTCACGTCAACAACTGTCCAAGTTCTGCGGACCTCTATATAGAGGTGTTATGACCATTGCCCAAATCACACCACTTGCATGTCATTTGTAATCATATAAAAGAATGGATCATTACATGCACGATTCAATGCACGGGGACAAATGCAAAAGCAGAATTTGAGTCATGAGATCACCAGTTAACTCGGCCAATCATCCCGTTGGAGTCAGAATATTATCAGTCGTACCTCGGTATACGACCGCTTTGGAATACGTCGAATTTGGTACACGTCGTGTTTTGACGAGAAAAAAATGTCTTGGGATACGTCGTCTTGCTTGGGATACGACGTCTTGCTTGGGATACGACGTCTTGCTTGGGATACGACACCTTGCTTGGGATACGACACCTTGCTAGAACTTGTATGGGTCGGGATGAGTGACCGCGTCGACCCCGTTCACGACTCAAACAAAGTGCCGCTCCTCAGTCTGCCTGTATAGTCGATCTCGTTCAGTGCACAACCCTTGCTATATTTATATTTTAATTTATGTATGCATTTATTTTAGTTTATGTATGCACTTTAGTAATAAGTAGTGTCTACATTATGTTATACAACCCCATGAATGTATACTATGCCATATAAAATATAATTTCTTATACTCTGGAACGGATTATTTCCCTTTTATTTCTTATGGGAAAAATTCGTTTGGTATATTTCGTCATTTTCGGTCCAAGTCCTCCTACCTTCTGGAACTAATTAACGACATATACCGAGGTACCACTGTATATGGGTAGTCAGACCATAGGCATGTGGAATTTCCAACAGTGGCTACGCACCGAGGTATTGTCAGACACACCACTTCAGCGTGCCAGGGATGTCCTGCATGGTATTAAAATGCAAGGCAGTGATGTCTCGACAATGCTGTAAAGGTGTAGCGGAGTATAATTCTCAAGTTTTTTTTTCTTATTAACATAGCTCTGAATTCTTATTTAAAGCTTTCGTGACTGCAGTGATTCATATTCTTGGTTCTTTCGGTAAAGTCACGTTGAAGGGAAACAACAAAATAATAAAATATATAAAACAATAAAATTCTCACGTTTCGACTGTAACAGTCATCATCCGGTGTGATGATCAGGTGTGATGATGACTGTTTGTGTTACAGTCGAAACGTCGTGAGAATTTGATTGTTTTATATATTTTATTATTTTGTTGTTTCCCTTCAACGTGACTTTACCCAAGGAAACAAGAATATGAAACATAGCTCTGGATGCCTGCGAGCTCAGAAGACACCCCGTGCTTCCACATTATATATTCGTTGTTGGTTGTCTATAAGTTGTTTAAGAGACCAGATGTGGATTAATAAAAAAAAAGAATGTGCCCCTGATATTTCACACGAGGTATACAAGGGTGCCGCGGTGGTATGGACGCCGTGGGTTCGATCTCGACGCCGACGCTTGTTGCATATTTGGAGTTTGCGGTGCTCCACCTGGAGTCGCGTGGATTGTTCTACGGGGTTTCCCTCCGCATTTAGAAAGACGCGTTGAGTATTTGGCAGTCATCCATTTCCACGTGATAAGCCACTCTGTTGAGACGTCAATTGTGGCCAGGTTGCATCTGAAAAAGAAAAGAGCAACGTAGCTCAGGGCGATTTAGCTGGTAAAATAAAAACTTTCGTTTCATTGAATCGGTTTTTATTACACGCTTTCTTTTAACTCACTTTTTGTATCCTCAAATCTTGTAACTCAATTTTAACCCACTTCCCGATGTGGTATCGACTGAAAACTTGGTATACTTATGTCATACTGATGACAATACCATATTCTATAACAAAAAAATCTATATTTTTAAACATTCTTTTTTTATATGTTATGTTTCGGCTTGGGTCTAATTGTCCACGGTCAACTCACGTTGGCTGTAAATCACCACACGGTCCCCTTACCTTATGGCAAGCTTCGGGGCCACTTCCTGGAGTCGTGGGAGTTTTGCCATTACTCGTACGGTACATTTAATAAAAGCGTGTTTAAAGTTTTTTTTTTAAATATTACTTTTATTTCCACAAGACACGCCGCGTGCTACGCACACTCAGGCACCGAAAACTCACAACCAACGCGCTTTCTCCGCCAAGTAGACTGCGTCCATACAGGGGAAGCGATCGTGAACAGCTTCACGTGTACTGGCAGATTCCTGCACCGTTCTCCCCCCCTCCTGTGCAATGGGGCACACCTTGCCACGCGAACAAAACGACAATGGCGCTCGACTGCAAGGATCTTTCCACGATCAGGACTTCACGTTACAACTGCACGTTCTCGCACGCTATTTTGCCCTCCGATGCCGGCCGACGCACTGCGCTTGGGACACCTCGCAGAAGTGCTGGCACGCCGACATGAAAAGCAGTCCGAATGAGGGTTACACGTCAACATTTTGAAAGTCATTTGATTTGGCCTCATTTCTTAACGGGCAGAACCGCACACCTACGCCGGCTCTCGGTGGTTGCTGATCAGCGAGGCAGAACCCTCGGCCCGTAACTTCGCGCCATGGCAGGATGCCGGGTGCTTCCGGACGAACCCGTCACAAACCGTGAGCAGCAGCGGTAAACGCACAAAGCGTCAAGGAAATAACAAACAAAAAAAATCAAATAACAAAAAAAGCAAGCGCTTACTTTGTCATTTCAGACAAACAAGAATGTGAGTTAACTCCAGAGAGAGAGCCAAGCTACAACCACTCGTGCTGAAACGGCACAGGGGACCGAGGAGACAGGCAGGACTCTATCCACTGCCATAACCGAGAAGATGAAACGGCACCGCAGCTCCGCTGTGCCCCATCAGCCCAGGGAGTCCACGAGGAGGAAGCGTGGCTTGTAGAGGTACGATGATTAATGTGCATCGAGTGCAGATGTCTCGCACGTCATCGATCCAGTACTTGTCACTGTTATGGTAACTCCTTCGCATCCTGCTCCTTCCCGAATGGCATCACTGGTCAGTATAACAGCAGATTTTAAATACATAAATTATATCTTCGTCGTATACACGAATAGTTTACAGCCATTCGTCAGGCCACTGCTGAATACAAGCCTCCGCAACTCCGTATCTTGCCATGGGGATTGTTTGACCATACTTCACCGCACTGGCCAGTGCATGTCAGTGACGCGAGGCACCCACAACTCGTTCAGAAGTAATCATCGCTAAACTCAGGTGGCTGGGTTCATAAAGTATTGCCACCACTCCGCTTACATCTATGTAAAATATTACATGCTAGCAGCCTATTTTGTGATCAATGACAGCAGACGCTTAATCGTTAAATTATTGTCAAATAATTATTTTATTTCAACTGGTATCAAGGTGCATTCCCAAAATAAGTAACGAATGATAACACAAGAGGCAGATGGACTGCTCTTGGCCTTAACAGTTGTTGCATCAGTTGAGAACTACTTAGTTTTCCTTAAACCATATACAATGTTTAAATCAATAAAATATTTCCTCTTAGCTGGCACAGCTGTCAGCCGTCGAGCCTGGCATGGTTCAGTGAAGTCAATGTCACCTAGCGAAGGGATTACATGAAAATAAAAAAAAAAACATCGTAATTTTGGGGAAGTAATTCCGGTTATATGCGAGCAAATGTACCAAATGTGACAAAATAATAGTTTTAATTGCATTTTGCTGCCGCGATGTGTTGTAGATTGACAGTTGCTTCGTCGTGAAATGTGTGCATTATATGTGGCTTCTTAGGCAGCACCACCAGCCCTACTTTTGCTCCTGTACGAAGGGCAGTGGGCACGCTGGAGTACGTACACTTACGAGCGTGTACATGATGAGGCTGTGCACGCAAATATTCTCCGTGTGAATAGCGACGCGCGAATAATGTCCGTGTGTAAAGGTGGGGGGGAGGAGGAGGAGGAGGGCCTTGCTCATGCGGGGCTGTCTTCACGCGTGTTATCGGCGCCAGAGTCTGCCGGTCAACGAGCTGAGCGGGGTCTTTGTTTGCATCTGCTGGACAGCCTCAGCAGCTCGCTTTTGCTCCTCCTGCAAGTGCACGCACACAGCAGACCGTCGCGTGATGGGATGAGGGCCCCGTGTAGCCGTACAGCGGCACAAAAACGCGACTCGCACAGAGAGGCCGCACGTGTACGGATAACGGACGGTGAGAATTATAAAGGGCATGACCAGCACGTGTCTTGGCTGTTCTTGAGGCCGGGGTTAGTGGATCACTGAAACGTCGTTCCAAGGTTGAGACGAACGGACAACTTCGCGAACAACTGGAGCCTCAACAAGGTGGCTTTTTCATTAGACCTCCTTTGCCAGTACCAAAAAATAAGAATAGGGGTTTTCTCCTTTTTTCTGGCAACAAAACTGAAACCTTTTTACAAGGATTCATGTCTGCATTAACCACAATACCTGCAATAAAAACGCAAACAAAAAACATACTATGATAATAATGCAGACATGAATCCTTGAAAAAAAAGTTTCAGTTTTGTTGCCAGAAAAAAGGGGAAAAACCCTCCTTCTTAAGGTGACTTTCTTCAAACGTCAAACCACAGGTGCAACCCCCCCCCCAACTGGGGGACAAACTCCACTCGCGAATCGTCGGCCTTCACAGACATCGTGCGCACACAAGTCACGATACCATCAAGCAGCGTCACCTTCGGGCACAAAGGAGGGAGACAAAAACAACAAAAGGGGACCGCGCAAACATCACCACGTGCTGTGAGACGTCCGCACGCTGGGGCAACGAGCAGGTTGCTGACATCTCCAGATAGATATTTCAGTTTGATCATCCTTAAGCGTCTGGATTTTATTCCATTAACTACAGTTTGTTTTCCCTGCACGTTCGAAGTTATACAAAAAAAAATAATGGGCCAATCATCCAAAGCAGAAACACTGTATAAAAGAGAATCGAGAGACTCTGAGACTTTCCTGGATGAGAAAAATATACACTTATTTTTTGGAACTAAGCATAAAAACTCGCAGAGATACTGGCGAGCAGCCTCTTGTAGCAGCAGATCAGATTGCAGGGACAGGGACGGCTTAACCGTTGGGTTTGGTGATGGGATTCGGTGCCATGGCCTAGAGCAGGGGTCACCATAGCTCTAACTTGACATTTTGTTCACTTGATTTTACTTCAGATTGGATGAGAACAAAATGAGTTTGTTTTAAAGGAACTGGGATGATCACATTGTTAACGGTCCAATGTGGACCAGAATTTGTATTCAGCGGTAGTTTATGGAAATTGTAAAAAGTAATGACTACTCATTGATACATGATCAAGATGCTGATTATGCATGGTGGTGGGTGCCCCCCCTCTCCACTACCGGATTAATGCGGAGGGAGAGCAGCATTTTGATGAGACAATGTGCTCTGCCAAATGCTTGCACGAACGACACAATGACTTCCGATGGTCACAATGACACCACACACATTACCAGTTATACAAACAAGGGCAATGCACATATGCTTACACGGCTATGCTCACATGCCACACGCACACATAACCAGCAACATGGCGGCACACAACTCAATACACAAACTATACACAGAGTAAACATAGTAACTATACACGCAGTAACACAAACACGGACTGCATGAACAGCACAGGTACGGAGGCTGTTAACACACAATTAACAGTTGCACACAAACATTGGTCACACAAAGAACGAATGAACCAGCGTGCAAACACGGCTTGTATATAAACATAACGATGATTCGTAGGTAGGGAAGTATCTTCTACACACAGATGCATAAACACAATGAGACAAGTCACAATTGTAAGCAAAGATGGACTACTCAGTGTCATACACAGCTCACACACACAGTGGCCTTACATACCAGCTTCCACACACGTATAATCACACAGCTCACATACACACAGCTTCCACGACAGCTGTCAATTGCCACTTTGTCGCATGATATCATCACAGAGCTTGTGCCAAGCTAGGTGCACTATGAGGCCAAATATGCAGCGTCAAAGGCTCGCTGGCAGGAGGTCACGGGACAGACCCAGATGTTTAGGGGTAACCGAGATGACCGACAACTGTACCGGCTGTGATACCACCACAGCATCCACACACAGCTCGCACCACCAAAACGCAGTTCGCACAGCACCACACAGTTCACACACACACACGGTGATCCACAGCTAACATCGCGACACGGACATATGGGCCATACATTCAAATGGCGAGTCCAGTTGCACATACTGTGACATACACCTCCAACATCACAAATAATCCTTTCATTTCTCAGCGGGTCTCATTTCAGGTTTGAGACTTTCAGGATGTCACTTCTCGGGATGCTTGGTGAAGTAGTTTTTGAGATTTGTTTGCGTACAAGAGGAAAACAATGAATGGATTACTATGATTATAATTGTACGAATGATAAAAAAAAATCACTCAAATTCCGTAGGCAGGCGAGGAACCTAACTCACCATGGCGCATAATGCGGAATGCATGCCATCTCGGAGTCCTTACAGGAGGGCGTTTCATGCACACTTTCAGCGCTATGTCCCTCCATCAGCCCGGCTCCTTCAGTGCCGGATTACAGGTGTGTTCCGCCACACCTGGCCAAACGCCTACAGCGAGCCTCCACAATTATTGTCCCGTTCTGTTTCGTATTACAAAGTACACGCACGGTCATTATTTAATTTGCTCCAAACTACAGATTCTGCCTTGGTTCTTCACCTGCAGCTGGGCTTGTCTTCGCTTGAAAGCCTCGATTGGGTTGTCCTCCATGCTGTAGTTCTCCAACACTGTCCTCACGTCCTCCACTCCACTCAGAGCAATGGCTGCGCACGTGGGAGCACACGGGCACGTGCACAAGCTATACACTTATCGCCGTTATTTACTTACATTTGCTGGGTGTGCGGCGGTGGTGCCGTGGGTGAGCACACTGCATTATGAACTCTGGTGACCCGTCGACAATTGTCGGCAACAGCGAAAATCGGTGGCGCACAATATCTGTACGACTGTCAGACACTTTCAGAGGCCTTAACATCTAGCAGTAGATTTGTCGGAGCTGTAAATTGTTATTTGTTATAGATATATTACCGTAAGAAATGCTTTGATGTTGCAATTGGTTCGCATTTTAAATGTATTTTAAATTAAAACACACATACATACCTGATAATTTTGTGCACAATAGACTCTAAAGATTCAATGTATTACACTGGGTGTACACTTACAGCATGCAAATAGATTTTCTCATAAATGGGCATTTACCATGCACTCCGCCACAGGGACACACAGATACATATAACGACTGCAAACAGTTCAAACTAGATTCGAAGCTTTCGTGACTGCAGGAATTACTCTTTGGTTCTGTCGGTAAAGTCACGTTGAAAGGAATTAATAGTTATTTTGAAATCTTACAACACTTGCATCGAGTCGAAAAAAAACTATTTTTTTCTGCTCGTCTGTGTATCTCGTGGGTTCACATGACACCCACAGCACCTCCGATTAGCACGCTTGGCTACGTACGGTGCGAAAGAAGTTCAGCATACCGTACACAGAGGCAGCTACAATCACAAGAATGTAAAAGAAACAATCGCAAACACAGTAAAACCTTGGATTGCGAGCATAATTCGTTCCGGAAACGTGTTTGTAATCTAACGCACTCGTATATCGAAGCAGATTCGTATATCAGTTGTGATCACGTGACGCTCGGCAGACAAAGCGTATACGTACTACTAATAGTCTTGCAAGACCTCGCTCGTTTATCAAATTAATATTTATTTAAAAAATTTGCTCGTCTTGCAAAACACTCGCAGACCAAGTTACTCGCAATCCAAGGTTTTACTGTAACGTCACTGGTGACAAACAATGTTAATTTTGAGAAGGCAAATCGCCACACTCCTAACGAGGTACACGCTTTAGGTATAGACACAGGGAGAGGAGCACACTCGCAAAACGTGACGCAATGGGCAGCGCTAAATTCAAAGAGCCCACGGACGCACACGGAAGAGGGCACAATGGCATAAGCGGATGGACGAGTTTGCTTGCAAACAAATGTGGGATGCAACCGCAAACACCCCGTCATTTAAATCATATTCCGTTTCTGCGTAAACAACACTCGATTGCACCCGCATGAAAACGATAATCGCCCAGCACATGAAAGTCGAACACGAATGCTCATGTAAACAAGTGACGCAAATATGAACAAAGGAAAAACGAGAAGCACTTTGAAGCAACTGCTCAGAATAGGTTTTTTTAAAAATATATATCTCTTGCACAAATTGCAGTGCTGGCTCATAGTTGTTGTTTAATGTTCAGGGATATTTTACAGCCTAACAATCATCCACACACGATACCTACGTGTGCATTCACAATAAAACAGCAGCTGCCTGGCACTGTGCTTGCATGATCGTTACGGTGGTTTGTAATGCTGCACCCGCCACCACCGCCACCACCGCCCACCCACCCACCAAGTGACTCGGGTCTCGTGTTCATTACACGCAGGCCACCTTCATTCGTTCAAACAAACGTCAGCGTGCGCCCGTGGTAGCAATGCGTAACAGCACCTGCAGGGTCGACGGCCTTAGAATAACCAATCTATAACAGTGCCGAGAAGAGCAGGTGGGTGCAGATGTGGAGCCCCGCATGAGCGGCCATGCGCAGTGTTTGCCTGTAGACATCAACGGAGCAGGCCTCTTAATGTTGGCATGACAACAAGGTATCGGTTTAGGCAAGCTGCTTGGCCCAGACAAGGAAAATAACCCCAAGTGAGCAAAGAAGCCAAGAAACAGGCAGGTTCATGTTGACACGTGCGAGCCACAGCAGCCGCAGCAGCAACATAAACATACAGACCTCCCAATTGTTTACACTGCACATTACGGCGTGGACTGTTTATCGCTTTCCTACTAACGTTGAAAGCTTGAATGCATTAGCTCTGTCCGTCTGTGCTGGTTACGCATCCATCTGAGGCAAGGGGGTCACACTAACCCTGGTACTCATGACCTTATGTAAAAATAAGGGGTTATTAGAAACGTCGTGTTGATATTGAGGACTTACCACCGTATAGATGGCCGGGCAATTTTCTTTGTCAAAAAGATGCCCAAGATATAGTAATAGGTTTTACCCTTTTAACTGGCACAAAAACTGACACCTTTATTCAAGGCATCATGTTTGCAATAACCACAACACAAGCAGTCAAAATGCAAACAAAAGAGACAACTCTGATAATAATATGCACTGTCCTTGAATTTGATTGGTCCACACCCGAGACGGCTTTCCTTAGAGCCTAGTCTCCACTGGTGTTGGACCAGATGACACCATAAGGCGTACAACTCAAAAACAGCGCACTATCAGAGTATTGAGGGCTCGCGATAAGCATTTACATTATGAGACCTCCTTTGCCAGTAACAAGATATAGTAATAGGTTTTACCCTTTTAACTGGCACAATGATAATTAATGACGTAATGGGTTACCGCACGCCATTACGTGTCACACGACGCCAGCGCTGTTGCAAACGATTGTGACTTCTATTACTTATCAAAGGGTTAGGTTGAAACCTTCCCGTCGCCAATTACAATATAAACTAAACTATTTTTATTTTACCAGGTAAGGTCCACTGAGAAGCGACCTGGCCACAAACAATAGCCCAAACGAAGTGCTCGATCACGTGGGAATTATACCAGTCGAATACTCTCAACACATTGTTTCTAAATGTGGAGGGAAAAACTGGAGGGGCCAGAAGAAAATCCACACGACCACAGGGAGAACATGCAAACTCCAAATATACAGGCGTCAGGGTCAGGATCAAACCCAAGACCTCCTGCATAACATCACACTACCGTGGTGTCCATAATCACAAACCATGGCTGATTATGAGTGACTTGGACCTACTCTGGTCTCACTGAACATTCAAGCTCGCTCAGACGTAGTTTATTTTCACTGTTCATGCTGTTCATCTCCTTCCAGGGAGACAAATGAGGTGGAACCTGTCACTCCTTGTTTGCAGCGTCACACATGGCCACAATTCTACGGCAAAATCAATGTTGTCGTTGTTACACGTCTTATTGTCACCACTGCGATTTACATTAAAAAAAAAAATGTGCTGGAAAATTCTCATTCCGAAATTAAAAAAAATATATAAATACTTCAAATTAGATTATATTTACCAAAGGTAAGGGAAGTTCGCAATAACAATCTGAATGTCGGCACTGTGGAGACTCAAACGGCTGGGTTAAACGTCCGCTCGTGTCAATATTGGTGGCTTTAACAGGTGCTCGCTAAGGGCACCATAGAATAAACATGTGAAACAGTGGGGGGGGGGGGGCCCTTGCGTGTGGAAGGGGATTGGCACCATATTGTCTTACAAGGCGGTGTGGCCACTCCAGGAAACTGGTTTTGACCAAAGGTAGCGATGAATACCATTGACAGGCCTGGGTGTACTTATCGGTCGGCTCAGCCTTAAATTTGTACTCTTTTCCACTTTAACTAACATCATTTGAAAAATGTGGAATTCCTCCCCCCGCCCCGTCCAACTCTCAGAGGCCATCAATGGAAATGAGCACCACCCCAGAGTCAGTTGAGCAGGAGGACACTTCAACCTCAACCGTTTGATGGGCAGAAGACCGACACCCTCTCTCACGTGTCTCGCAAGCCACATTATTCCAGTGGTTTGGTATTTAGATCTTACCAATCTTACCATGAACATTCACTGTCTGGTAACATTAGAAACAGACGTAAAAAAAAATGGTATGCTACAGAAATGTAATAATTTGCGATACATTGTTAATCTGCCAGCAATCCAACTTCCAGAAAGTTTGCTTTTATTAGATTGTACTGCAGCGACAAGAAATTCTATCACTTCTGGCACGCAGTGCCTCCCCCGAACTCACGAATGCGGATTTGAATTTTTATTTTTTATTTTATGCCAAATGACAAAACTCAAATCATTTTTTGCATTGGCTCTGGCAGAAAAAATATATATATCGGCTTGCAACTACAACTACTGCAGCATCATTGTATGTGGCGAGAGCTGATAAGACCAGAATATTTGAAAAATAAATGTTACAACAAATACATCTTTTGTGTGTGGGTGTTGTTTTTTTTTAAGCAGAAGGTACAGGCTAAGTTTAAAAATTAAAAGTAATAAACTAAGAATAAGTGGCTCAGGGTAGAAGTAATTATTGGCAAAAGCAGTGGAATACAGCATTATAAACAATAAACATACAGTGAGGGAAAACTTAAGTATTTGATCCCCTGCTGATTTTGTACGTTTGCCCACTGACAAAGAAATGATTAGTCTATAATTTTAATGGTAGGTTTATTTGAACAGTGAGAGACAGAATAACAACAAAAAAATCCAGGAAAACGCATGTCAAAAATGTTATGAATTGATTGGCATTTTAATGAGGGAAATAAGTATTTGACCCCTCTGCAAAACATGACTTAGTACTTGGTGGCAAAACCCTTGTTGGCAATCACAGAGGTCAGACGTTTCTTGTAGTTGGCCACCAGGTTTGCACACATCTCAGGAGGGATTTTGTCCCACTCCTCTTTGCAGATCTTCTCCAAGTCATTAAGGTTTCGAGGCTGACGTTTGGCAACTCGAACCTTCAGCTCCCTCCACAGATTTTCTATGGGATTAAGATCTGGAGACTGGCTAGGCCACTCCAGGACCTTAATGTGCTTCTTCTTGAGCCACTCCTTTGTTGCCTTGGCCGTGTGTTTTTGGTCATTGTCATGCTGGAATACCCATCCACGACCCATTTTCCATTCCCTGGCTGAGGGAAGGAGCTTCTCACCCAAGATTTGACGGTACATGGCCCCGTCCATCGTCCC